CCTGAATGAAATCTCGCAGAAAACTCCATGGGATAGCCTTACTTTCACCTTTTGTCTTGACACATGTATCAACTTGAGGCAAGCTAAGTCCAAGCATTTGCACTAGCTTTTTACGATAACGCACCTTATTTGACTAGTAAATCTTATCTGGGTTTGGCAAGTGAAAGTGAAGTAAGACCATATATTCTTCAATTGTGGGCATCATATCTGTTTCATTGAAGATGAAACACCTATAAGAAAGATCCCAAAATTGGATGATGGCTCTAATCAGATTATTATCGACATCCACCTGAAGCAATAAAGCTATGTCTCCATATTTGTTCTCAAATGCCTCTTGTCTTGTTCTAGTCATGCATCTCCAAACACTACTTAAATCGGCTAGATCATTTTGTTGTAACTCGATATGAATTTTCTCAGGCAATGATGAGATAAAATCTTTAGGCAAGCAATCTCTGTGTTTTCTTTGACATTTCTCTGACTTAATTTTTAATTGATGAGTAGACTCATAATGGACTAATGTAGACTTTGGTTGCATTTGGCTTTCCATAGATGTGAGATCTGATTTATCAATAACTGATATGTGACAAATATTTCCTATATGAGAATGATGCAAATGATAGTGTTAAACATGATCATGAAAATAATGTATAGACTGACATGAAGAAGGAAATGATGCATAGAATGAAATGATATGGAAATGGTGCAGATGCACAAAATCAAGCAAACAAAATGGTTAGATAACAAACTGTTCATTCTTGTGTCCGAATTTTGGGTTATATCTATTGATGAGATGGAAGGGCTCTACCTTAGGTTGGTCTCTTAGGGGTGAACTATATGTAGGATTAGGAGATTTTGACCACTAAAATGTTTCCAAATTATTTCTTACATCATCGTCCATCACAGACTAGTAAGACATTCCAATCCTCACCCATCATAGGCTACCAATGGAAATGATTCAATTTCAGTGGGAGTATTTTGTTAGCCATTGTGGAGATTATCATCTCACGAGAGCATAAGTACTTTACTCCCTCCTAAGAGGGACAGAACTCGGGTATAGAGCTCATGCAAATGCATATGATAGTGTGTGTGAAGAAACATATAATTATCAACCCCATAAATCAAATAAGAAACAAAAAAGGAAAAGCATTAGTAAACAAATAACTTAAAACCATTAGCTCAAAGGATTCAAAAAATTATGGCTTGACTCTCTAGCGTCCCCAGTGGAGTCACCAAACTGTTATAACATATAGATCTGTAAATCTATAGCTAGAGTTAATGAATGATTGGAGTCACCACCAATCGTTTTTACTAGGTGCGATTGGCCACCTAAGGAATATATCATTTAAGGAACTCCTAAGCTAGACTAAGGGTCCCTAAAAGAATAGGTTTGGGTCTACTAAGCAGAATAGGGTTCGGGAGTTGGTTACATGTGAGAAAAGTTATAGCACCCCCACATGCCCATCCAAAAGATGATACCATATTATTTTGAATTTATCCTAGGATCTTAAGTCTAATGGCTTCAAATTTCATGTTAAATATTGAAAATAATTCTTAAAATTCTCCATCAATCTGGTAGAACTTTTAAAAAATATTTTTTCACCTCAAGAGTATTCAAAAATCCTATTTCATTTCTTGAAGAAGCTCTGGCATCGAAAAAAATTTATGTAATTTTTTTAGTCGAAAATATATCTAATTATTCCACCATTTGGGCCAAGTTAGAAATATTTTTTTGCTTTGAATTTCTAAATTTTCACTATTTAGGCCTATTTAGAAATTCTTTTTATTTTTTCTTTTGGAAAAAAAATAATATGACAATTGCTTTTATTGAAAATTTTCTTTTAAATTATTCCACAATTTAGGCCAAATTTAGAGAAAATTTCTCACCTAGAAATTTCTTAGGAATTTACCATTTGAAATTTCTAAGAATCTCATCCTTGGATAATTATCAAATGTTTTCACCCCAAATTTTATTTGGAAACTAATATAATTATTTGTATTAAAATTCCATCTAAATTATTCCACCATTTGGGCCAAATTTTAGAAGAAATTCGTTACCTAGAGATTTCTTAAGAATTTACCATTTGAAATTTCTAAGAATCTCGTCCTTGGATAATTGTATTTAATTTCCAAATGTTTTATATTTTTATGTTTTTTGATTTTTTAATTTTTATATTTTGTTGTGTGAAAATAAATATTAATTATTGTTATTGAAACGTTATCTAAATTATTCCAACATTTGAGCCAAATTTAGACAAATTTCTCACCTAAGAATTTTATAGAAATTTTTCATTTAAAATTTCTATAATTTCATCATTGGATAATTAATATTTATTCTCAAAATTTTATTTTTATTATTATTTTATTTAATAGAAAAAATACTAAAGAAAAAAAAACAAATACATAAATAAAATACTTAAATAAAATAAATAACAAAATATCAAATAAAATCGAAAGCGGCTCGGCTTAGAGCTAGAATAGGGCTCGGCTCAAGATAAAAGAAATGGCTCAGAAGCGTGGCTTGAAGTCTCGGCTCAGCCCCAGGGGACAACTGGCACGCGAGTCAGAAACGAGTTGGCGCTCAAGTCGGGTCGCTCGATGGCAAAACGCGTAGATCTTCTGGGATTTGTAAGGTCAAAACAACATCGTTTTTAATGGGTATATAAGCTCAAATCCCAGCTTTTTCTTTTGAATCCTTCTTCCCTTCTCTCTCTTCCCATTCCTTTTCTCTACCCCTTTCTCTGAAAACCCAGATTCTGGTTGAATGTTTACCGAAATCTGAAAAAAGACGTCGAAAACTGAAAAAATCGTCAAAAAATTAAAGGTTGGTCGAAAAAGTCATCAAAAAATTGATTGATTCTGAAATTTTTCTAAAAATTTCCCAGAAAAAAAGGCCAAAAATCCAAAAAATTTTCTAAAAATCTAAAATTACTTCTAAAACCCTTTAGTATTTTTCAAGATTCTGGCTTCTATTCTTTGCTTTCTGTTTTGTGTCATGTGCTTCTGAATCCAGGCTTATATTTATAAGCATTGATCAGAAGAGTTTCTGATCAATGTTGATTCCTTCTTTCACTAGGATTCAATCCCTGAGTTCAATTTCAACTCTGCCAACCCCATTCACGATAGAATTTGCACAAAACTAAATTTGTTATTTCCTAAAAAACTAATGATAAATCCAAAAAAAAATACATAAATAAATAAATAATCAACGGTAAATAAAAAATCAAAAAATAATAAAATAAATAAATAAAATGGTTAGTTGGGCCTAATACTTTGGACCTTATTGAATCGAGCCCAATGGGCTTGAGCCCGGACTGAATAAGATGATTACAGTCAAAACCAAATTAAATAATAAATCGTTCAAAGTGCCATGTTACTAGGTCAATGATTTAATCGATGGGTTAATCAAGGCAATTGGTGAACCAATAAAAATATTTAAAGGGGCCATGTTTTTTAAGTTGATTCTTTAGTGCGCATAAAGTGTAAAGGAAAGGTAACATCATTTTATTTAGATTTTAATTTTTTTATTTTCTATTTTACTTTTAAATATGTTATTTTAGTTAAATTACAAAAAATCCATAATTTTAATTATAAAAGCTTAATTAATCATAATTTTAATTTTATTTTTTAGAAAATTTAAAACCCATATGGCTTAACAAAACCCAATCTATTCACCAATTTATTAATTAAACTATTGATTCAATACGATTTAAAGAGGATTAATTGAAAATCTGATCTAATAATAAAAATGAACTGATTTGGATGTTAGATTATAATTCAACCAATACCACTAATAATTTAGTCCAATTATGATAATTGTGATCTTAACAATAAATAAACTTAACCAACAATGATTCTTTAAATTTCTAAGATACACATGATTTCAATATATTTTTTTTACCTTAATAGGGGCTCGAGCCTCTAATGAACCCTACATAGCTCTGGCTTGGATTGAGGGAAGCCTGATCTCTTATAGCTTTATTAACCTGATAATTTTACTAATTTTCCTTACAATTAATTTTTCAAAACTAATTTTTATATAAGATTGAAACGGTGTATATATAGAGAAAGGTGAGATGCATATATACAAGTGCAAGTGTTAAATTGTTTTATTATTGGATCAAAATGATTAAAAATAAAAATATTATTTTAATCCAAATTAGTCAAAAATTTAATTTTGATCCAATAATAAAAATAAGTACAAGACTTACACTACTATAAATGAATCACTACTCATATGTTTATACTTAAAAGAATATTTAAACAAGTTAGATGAATCAAAGTTATAAGAAGCAACATGCATGATTAATATGATTTAAACGATTGGACCTGTTATATTCATAATGAATATGACCTATTTTAAGCAATTTGATAAGATTGGAATTTGAGACGATCTTCATCGTTATTCAAATGGGAGAAATTCACTTACAATTATTTCTACTACAATATTACCATTAACCAAGATATTCACTATGTTAAAGTGTGAATTTTTTAAAAATTTTTAATAAATCTCATACAATATTAAATTTTGATTGATTAATATTGCTATGTAAAATTATAATTGATATGTTTCCTATTCAAACAACGTCAGAAATTCATGATGCCTTATGTAAGGGAGTGAACGATACTAAAGAGTCAAGCTTGGTGAGGTGGTTAAGTTAAACACGTATGGTGCTTCTTGAGGTAATCCAGAGATCTTAGGATTCGGTGACTTAATTATGTATATTGTAGGGCATAAGAAAAAAACACGTAATATCTAACTTAAAGTGTTTATGGATCAAATCGGATAAAACATATTTGATTGATGCTTTTAAAATTTTATTCAAGGTTTCATATAAGTCGTCTATTAAAATCTATGTAGATTAATTATTATGTAATAAAATAAAATATTTTTTATTAATAAAATAATATTTCAAGTTGTTCTAAACACTAAATTAAAAGTTTTTGTTTAAAGCCCAACCTCAAGTAGTGTCATACTCGCGGACCAGATATTAAGACTGATACATAGACAAGTTTATATATGATTTAGAAAAGATAAACTAATAAAAAAAAACTCAAATCACATGTATGTAAAGCGTAGCAAAATTATTACAAAGCTAATTGATACGGATAGAGAGAGAAAGTTTGTTACCTATAAAGGAAACTTATCAATTATTTGAATTTATATTTATAGAGACTCAAGATTTGGAAATTTAACTGAAAAAAGTTACTACAAAAGGATTGCTATACCACCTCACCTCCAATTATTTTGGTCTAAATACTCTTATGGAATAGGAAAAACGATTAATGCTAATACACGATCCTTGGTCTCACGATCTCCAACCCCGTGGCCATCACCATACTGGTACATGCATTGAAACATCCTTGGCACGTTCAATGCAATTTGAATAAACATCTGAGAAAAAGAAGAATGAGCAAATCGCTCTTCGTTTAGTCTTTTCCACCATGAATCAATCAACGCCCGAATGTGCTGACGGGCTTCTTCATCCGAAGCTTCAGTTTCGTGTATGTAACATTGGATCGATTTGGGAACATCGCCTCGTTTTAACTCATCCTAATCAAGAAAATACAAAGTATTACATGTACATAAATATATTTCAATTCGCAACAAGCAATGATGCTTGTATTTCATACCGATGATGTTCCAAGATCATCCGCAAGTCGTCCAATCACGGATGAAAACTTGATTAGGTTGGAACACTCTTCGAAGCATCCCAAGCACTCCTTTCTTATTGAATTTGTAGCCAAATAAGCATGAAAAAGTGTTATAGGAGCGCCAATGGAAATCAGTCCATTTTTCAGATACTCTTCTACGGTTGGTGTATATCCATTATAATACCACTTCGCCTCCAATAAATAAGCTTTGCATAGGTCTGCCCACTGAACATTTATGATAGAAATCATGATCAATAACAAAATCGAAATCTAGAAGGAAAAGATCATGAAATAAAAGTAATTCAAAAGTAGATATATAATAGGAGGGTTTGAGTACCATTTTCTTCATGAGAGGTATGGCATCGAATCCTTGCTCCTTGAGAATGGCAAAGGCTGTTTCGTTTACGAAGTTGAAAAGAGCAAGGAAACATATCTTCATATATTCAGGAAACAACTCCATTGTATTTGTGTCCCATCTGGAATCATTAAGATTAAAATATCACACAGAAAAAAAATCATATTACATAAGGCTTTGCTTTGTTGGAAATAAGGGTAGAGGTGTTCACTGGCTGAGCTATGGATTTGATCTATTCAAATCCGGGTCCTAAATATATATAGGATTATTTAGATTCAGGAAAAATTTTTAATTTAATTTTAATTAAAAATATTTTGACAATATTAGTATAATTGTCTTAATTTTTAATGCTAAATATAAATTTAATTGACAAACTAAATTAAGCTTAAATTCAGTGATTTGAGCTATAAAGTAATTAAAAAATATTATGAAACCTAGCTATTAAATTAAAAAAAAAAATCAGTGATTCTCTCTGGTCATCTTTTATACAAAGTAGAGAGTTAGAGAACCGTACGAACCTCTCAACAGCTTCGGTGAAGAGCAGTAATTCATCCATGGTACCATACACATCATAAATATCATCTATAACTGTTACTAGTGCAGCAACCTTAGCCACAATTCTTCTACAATTACCAAAGTGAAGATCAGTTGCCAAGCCCATACCCCATAAAAAGCTCTCCACCAACCTGTCTCTGGCAAACGTCAACTTTTCCCCAAGACACAGATCTTTCCACCACCTGCACAGAAGTTTAAGAAAATCGTACGTTTTCTGTAAAATTAATTCAAAACTATAAATAGAATAAATTAATCAATCAATTAAGGGAGTTTCTATATAGCTTTTGATATCTATCAATTCCTATTTATGTCTTTTTTGTTTCTTTTGTACATGACATTTAACAGTATTCCATTATTGTTTAATTATGTCTAAAATTTAATGTTCTTTTTTTTTTTTTTACATGACAAAAGAAACAAAACTAAAATAATACTATGATTTTAGTTGTTTTATATTAAATTTTCAAAAATTTTATAATATTGATGTTCCATGATTTTTTCTGTAAAAAAATTATTTAAGCATATGAAAAGTAAAACTTGTAAGCATTAAAAAGGAATTAAGACATAGCCCATGATAGAATGTATAAATGTTCACTTTATTGAAATTTATTATTTCTTCATTTTTTTGGGTTTAGCCTTATATGTACTTTAAAAAAGCCATGAAATATCAAAAGCTGCTGATATATTTATAATATCTTTATAGCGTAGCACAGGATTTTTCCTATTGGCCGAATATATATATATATATATATATATATATATAAACACTTTAAAACTTACTTGGAAGCATGTCTTAGATCATCCTGGTGAACAGCTTGCAACATATTGAAGTCCAATTTAGCAAGATCCAGCAGACTCTGATGTCTGTCCTCTCTTTTTTGGTACACATCTATGAACCATCTGGTTTCCAACCTTGGTATTCTCCAATTCAATGGAACTTCCAAAGCATGATCCACTAGCATCGACATATCATATTCATCCTTGTTCTGCTTCAGATATTCTTTGAGTTGTTTTGTTGCACAATCTCTTGCCTTCTCCAATATGCTCTCACCCTCAAACAAAAGGTATGAAGCTTCATACAAGCTCAGCAGCCCTTTCCATTCCTCACAATAACCTGCCTTCAAGTTCCCTATCTCGTCCATGAAATGGGAGAAAACCTCTGCATGTAATAAAATTTTCAATTGTAATTATCAATATTTCTCTAATTTTTTTATTTTATATTTACACAAATTTAATTACTACTTGGACTTTTACCTGGAGTTACTTTATACCCATGCTGCCTTAGGAGCCTAAATTCAAGTGATGTAGCATATAAATTGGTATGATCAGACGTTACACACTCCAAAATCCTCTTGGTTTCATTCTCAAAGTGATGAGATAATCCGAGTCTATGCAACGTATCGACTAGCTCGAGTTGCTCCACAGGATCCACCACTTTCTCAAGCATCATTTTCACTTCCCCCACCAGTTTCACTGCTCGTTCACCATATGATTCGCCCTATACATCGAAGATAAGCAACTCTGTTAGCCACCTGTCATGTTAAAATATATATATATATATATATATATTGGTAATTACCCTCTGCATACCATATAATCACTGTTGAGCGACTGAATATAATCGTCCTTCCAAATTGTAGGATGGTAATTAGCAGATCGCCTAACAATTTTTTGATCTAAAACTTTGGCGGTAGCAACCAAAATTTTGGAGGATTGAAGAGCCATCAAGAAAGCTATAATTTCGAACTATAGAAGTTGGGTTAATTTTTTGTTGTCTCTTGAGGTACAATTCGTGAAACAACATGCCAATATATACTACCATATAGACCATTGACGTGACCAACAATTACCTATCCGAGAAAGGACCATTAATCAACTTGTATTTGGTTAGATATTTTAGATCCAATGAATTTAAAGTACGTAAACATGATTAAGTGCTAAAAAAATCACATTAGTTGAAGTTTAGTTTGAATTCCAACCATTTTCGTCATCAATTTTTGTCATCAATGAAATTTAACGATTTTTGAAACCATTGTGCGGATTGAAAAATATAAGGTGTTGTCATCAATTTTTTTTGTTAAGTATGATTGACCACTTAAAAAAACTTATCTTTTTAATAAAATTTAAAATTAATTAAAACTTATTAAAAAAATAATTTTTGAGTCTATGAAAATAATTAAATTTGGAAGTACAATTACATGTGGAAAAAAATTAACATCCCACAGTACCCGTTTTAAAATGTTATGGAGTAATTATGTGTTATCCTTTAATATTGATAAAAAAATTTAGTTTTGATATTTAAAAATAATTTAACCCTTTTTTAGCATAATTTTATTTGTTTAATTTCCTCCAAAAAATTTTCTTTCTTTATTCTTTTTCTTTTAAAAAAATATTATTTTTTATTTAAAAAATAAATTAGAAACTTGTTATTGAAAATTTTTTGAAAAATTCTAATACATTGATAATATTAAAAGAAATTTTCTTACCTATGGATTTTTTAAAAATCACCACTTAGATTTTCTTAGACTATCATCTTCTGCTCGTATTTTTTAATTAATTAATGCCAATAATTTCATAAATTATTATATGTAATTTTATTCCTAAAACAACTTATTCTTTAATTCTTTTTCTATTTTAATAATACAAAAAATAAATAAACGAAAACCTCTTGTGTTGAATATCTTCCTAAGTACTATAGTACTTTGATTGCATTTTAGAAAAATATCCTCACTTAAAGATTTTTAAGGAATCATTACTCACATTTTCTTAATATCTCATCATCAGAAGATTTAATTTTTTTTTTTTACAAAAAAATTTTAACATTTTTTGAAAATATATATTTATTTTTAAAAATTTAAAAGTGCATAGATAAACAAATAAATAACTTAACAAAGTAAAAGAAATAAAAAAAAATTACCCAATAGGACTAATCAAAACTGGTCAATGTTTCAATGATAGTCCAATTCTAGTACATCAGTAATATTAGAAAAAATTTTCTCACCTAGAGATTTTTTAAGAATCACCACTTGGATTTTCTTAGAGTATCATCTTCGGCTCATATTTTTTAATTAATTAATGCCAATAATATTCATATTATTATATGTAATTTTATTCCTAAAATAACTCATTCTTTAATTCTTTTTCAATTTTAACAATATAAAAAATAAATAAACAAAAACCTCTTATGTTGAATAACTTTCTAAATACTATAGTACTTTGATAGCATTTTAGAAAATATCCTCACTTAAAGATTTTTAAGGAATCATTACTCACATTTTCTTAATATCTCATCATCGGAGGGTTTAATTTTTTTTTTACAAAAATCTTTTAACATTTTTTAAAAATATTTATTTATTTTTAAAAATTTAAAAATGCATAGATAAACAAAATAACTTAACAAAGTAAAAAAAAAAAATTACCTAATAAAACTAATCAAAATTGGTCAATGTTTCAATGATAGTCTGATTCAGTTCAGCGGTTCCTTAGACTAGTTTAAGTGTTTAGAAATATTCGACCAATTCAGTTGTGATTTGATTGATTTAGTTGTGATTTGACTGATTCAATTGTGGTTTAATTAGACAGATCTAGGAATGGTCAATTGTAGCCTAGCACGGGTTGAGTGCCCAAACCTTGAGTTGGGTTCAGTTCATCGATTGTTTGAATTTTTTTCTATAAAAGACAAGTTTTATTTATTTCATTTCAAACATTTCCTCTCAAAAAAGCCTCCAACACTTTTAAAATCCAAGAACATTGGCCACCTAATCCCAGATTCCTACGATTTGCCACCACCAGCTGTCACCTCTTTCGCCTTTAGCCATCGTTGATCGCCACTCATTGATGTTGGTTGGCTCCAAAAAAACACCTAAAAACTCCCCTTGATCCCTTCCTTCAACCTACAAGATTAGATTTTCCCAAAAGTTTATAGATTTTCCTAGACCTAGGATGAAAATTTCCTCTTCAACCAAGAAAATCCCTACCTTCTGCCACTTTAAAAACCATCATTTTCAACTATGTCTCTCACCTTGTACGAGGCTCCCTCTATTCCAAAAAACCCTAGCCTAAAACCTCCTTCAACACCATAAATTTGAAATCCCAATTTTGATATTTGTAAAAAAAAAAAAAATTGGTGTATTCAGTTGCTATTCTCTATAAAAAGGGATGTGTTTTTTTTTTCTTATTATTGGCTTTTGGTGGTTTATAGCGATCTCTATAAGTGGGTTGTTGTTTGGTGCAAGGATTCAAATAGCAGTCGGATAGCGGTATCGCGGTCGCTATTTCTCGGTCGCGCCACTATCCACCATCGCTATTGGAGAAAAAATGGGGGAGAATTTGAATCTCATCTATAGCGGATGAATCGCGGTCATAAATTATGATATAACGGTAAATAGTGGCAATAGCGGTCCGCTATTGCCCGCTATTACCACTATTGCTACTATTCTTATTTTCATTCAAAAATTCAAAAAAAATCATTTTATTTTCTTTAAAAACTTAAAATAAAAACAACAAGAAAGAAAATAAACATCAATTTACAAATTCAGAAAAAAAACCCACAAAACTTAAACTTTCAAAAAAATCAATTCTCTCAAGTTCAACTTCAATCAAAATCAAGTATATGCAATTTAAAGTAAACAATTAATTCAACACTCAAATTATCTTCTTTTTTTTTTAATTTTCAAATTTGCCATGATTTTGTGTGTTTGGGATTAGATTGGGCTATGTTACATTGATAGAAGGAGGCAAGAGTTGCTGAGACTTAAAACAAGAGACAAGAAATGAGAGTGAAACTTGAGATTTACAGAAGCAAGCAGATAGCACACACTAAATAAAAAGAGAACTGAGAGATGGGGATAAGGATAAAGGTTTGGAGAAAAAAATTATTAAATGCAAGGTGAAGGGATGAGAAGTTGTGTGGGTCTGTGCAATTTAGTCAAGAGACAAGGGAAGTAGACTTGAGGTTATTATTGTTGAAAATCACCCATAACATGGAGGCTGTCAAGTTTGATTTACTGTAAATTCATAAAAAGCAATTCTTTTAACTCATAAATAATAATGCTCTTACTTAATTTATGAATACCTAATCACTTATTATTTGATTTATGCATAATATAGTTCAGTAATAATTTGATGAATACAATAATTAAATAATTAAATATATTATTCATTATGATTATTTATTTTTCACATATTTATTTATCTCTTTTTATTTTTTTAATTATCATATAAATAAATTTTTAAATATGAATATTTTACTATAAATATTTTTTCTTCAATAAATAAACACATGATATGATATAAATTACTTTAAAAATTATAAAATAAGAGGTTTTATAATTAATAATTAAAATTATTATATTTTATAGCAAGTTGAGCAAAATTTAAAAAAATTCACGATCGCAATAATCGCAATGTCCCCGAAGGTCTCCGTTATATCTACAATCATGACAAACGCGATGTGACCAAAAACGTGACCATTACCGCAATTTAAATCTCTGGTTTGGTGGTAGAGATTTGGTCTTTTGAGGTCACCGCAGCTGTGGTTTTTGCTTACTGATGGTTAGTTTTTGCTTGGGATAATATTGTTCTTTGTGGTGGCCAATGGTGCTATTAGTGATTGTAGTTTAAGGGTGTCGGTAAGGAATGTTGTTCTCAGGGTTTTCTTTAGTAGAGCTTTTGGTGCCCCAAGAAAAATGGCTTCCCTTTGTTGATTTTTTTGTTCGATTTGTATAAGCATTTTCAACTTTTAGGTTTTGATAGAGATTTAGGGGATAAAGTGAAGGGCTATAGGTAAGATAGAGGGTTGATGGTACTTAATTTCGGCTAGCAATGGTGGTTGGTAGGGTCGCTTGGAGGTTCGATGAGTAGGATGGCCAAAATGCATGGCTAACAGCTCGTGTTGATGGTGTCATACATGGCACATCCCCCCTCTTTTTTTATTCAATTTTGGTTAGTTCTTTAATTAGAATGGAAAATAAAATTTTTTGATATAATGGGCTTTTGGCTTTTAAGATTTGGACCACTAGCTATTAAGCCCAAATGGCCTAAACTTTAGGTTTCCAAGCCCAAATGACCCATGTAACAAGACTTATGCAACCAAACCTAGTAAGATGAAACCCAAACAGAGGTGATTAAATGGACCTAAATGAAACATAAAAATTATGATTTGTTTCAATTAAGCTAGATAAAATTATGAGTCCACAACTGCCACTTTTTATATGTTACAAAAAACCAAGAATAGGGTAAAGACATAGGCAATAATTTTATTTATTTCGATAGCTTAAAACTCTTTTTTTCATTTTTCCTTTTTTTTTGTTTTTTACTATTGCTTTTTACATTTTTTTTAATTTCATTTTTTTAAAACTAATGCCAATAAACTTAGAGGTTAACTCACTAAAAGTTTTACAACTTTTTGAAAATAAATTGAAATGAAAACTCCACTAATCAAAAACTTCATAACTTTAAAATAGATTATGATAACTCAAAGATTATGCCTGGAGTTCTTACAAATCTCAACACAAAAACATATTCAACTCAGAAGACTTACGAATCTTACTCAAAGGATTTGGAGACTATACCCGAAGGTCTTACAAATATTGACAATAAAAAAGATTCAGCTTGTAAGACCTACAAATCCTGCTTGGAAAACTTAGAGACTATGCTTTAAAGTTCAATAAATCTTGACATTAATGAATGCTTCTTTAAACAAATGCTTCACAATTTTAAAATTTTATTTGAAAGGCTCTTCCTAAACTGAAGCTAAGAAATTT